TATATAGTACAGTTCTTTAAATGTCTGTAATCACAAAATAAAATAAAAATCTAAGTTTATTAAAATGCCAAGAAAACACATGATCAATGTATAATTTGAAATCTTTTTTTTTTTGTCCCCCTTAATCACTGTTTTTAAGAATGTACAGTTCTTGAAACATCTGGAATCACAAAATCATAGTAAAAAATAAATTAAAATAAAATAAAACGTCATAATTACAGAAGAAACACTGGAGGTGATATATTAGCGTATATGAGGGAGTTTTCATGTATTGTGTTGGACGGGGTCAAAGAGGTTGAGAAGCACTGATCTTCATCATCATCATCATCATCCTCCTCATTCACTCCTATCACGTCTCCTCTCTCCTCTCCCCTGGTTCTCCCATCACCTCCTCTCGTCTCCTGTCCTTCATGTTCGTGAGGTTCTGTCTGCTGTATTATAGATGAAGATGTCAGGCACACAGTGACAGAAACACACCTGGCCTTTGTGAAGCCTCCAGGGTTCATATAATGAAGTGTGTGTGTGAGAGAGAGAGAGTGTGAGTGTGAGTGTGAGTGTGAAAGTGAGTGTGAGAGTGTGTGAGTGTGAGTGTGAGAGTGAGTGAGTGAGAGTGTGTGAGTGTGAGAGTGAGTGTGAGAGTGAGTGTGTGAGTGAGAGAGTGAGTGTGTGAGAGTGAGTGTGAGAGAGTGAGAGTGAGTGTGAGAGTGTGAGTGAGAGTGAGAGAGTGTGAGAGTGTGTGAGTGAGTGAGAGTGAGAGAGTGAGAGTGTGAGTGTGTGAGTGAGAGTGAGAGAGTGAGTGTGAGTGAGAGTGAGAGTGAGTAAGAGAGTGAGAGTGAGTGTGTGAGTGAGAGTGTGTGAGTGTGAGAGTGAGTGTGTGAGTGAGTGTGAGAGTGAGTGTGTGAGTGAGTGTGTGAGAGTGAGTGTGTGAGAGAGAGAGTGTGAGAGTGTGAGTGTGAGAGTGAGTGAGTGAGAGTGAGAGAGTGTGAGAGTGTGTGAGTGAGAGTGAGAGTGAGTAAGAGAGTGAGTGTGAGAGAGAGAGAGAGAGAGAGAGAGAGAGAGAGAGAGAGAGAGAGAGAGAGAGAGAGAGAGAGAGAGAGAGAGAGAGAGAGAGAGAGAGAGAGAGAGAGAGAGAGAGAGAGAGAGAGAGAGAGAGAGAGAGAGAGAGAGAGAGAGAGAGAGAGAGAGAGAGAGAGAGAGAGAGAGAGAGAGAGAGAGAGAGAGAGAGAGAGAGAGAGAGAGAGAGAGAGAGAGAGAGAGAGAGAGAGAGAGAGAGAGAGAGAGAGAGAGAGAGAGAGAGAGAGAGAGAGAGAGAGAGAGAGAGAGAGAGAGAGAGAGAGAGAGAGAGAGAGAGAGAGAGAGAGAGAGAGAGAGAGAGAGAGAGAGAGAGAGAGAGAGAGAGAGAGAGAGAGAGAGAGAGAGAGAGAGAGAGAGAGAGAGAGAGAGAGAGAGAGAGAGAGAGAGAGAGAGAGAGAGAGAGAGAGAGAGAGAGAGAGAGAGAGAGAGAGAGAGAGAGAGAGAGAGAGAGAGAGAGAGAGAGAGAGAGAGAGAGAGAGAGAGAGAGAGAGAGAGAGAGAGAGAGAGAGAGAGAGAGAGAGAGAGAGAGAGAGAGAGAGAGAGAGAGAGAGAGAGAGAGAGAGAGAGAGAGAGAGAGAGAGAGAGAGAGAGAGAGAGAGAGAGAGAGAGAGAGAGAGAGAGAGAGAGAGAGAGAGAGAGAGAGAGAGAGAGAGAGAGAGAGAGAGAGAGAGAGAGAGAGAGAGAGAGAGAGAGAGAGAGAGAGAGAGAGAGAGAGAGAGAGAGAGAGAGAGAGAGAGAGAGAGAGAGAGAGAGAGAGAGAGAGAGAGAGAGAGAGAGAGAGAGAGAGAGAGAGAGAGAGAGAGAGAGAGAGAGAGAGAGAGAGAGAGAGAGAGAGAGAGAGAGAGAGAGAGAGAGAGAGAGAGAGAGAGAGAGAGAGAGAGAGAGAGAGAGAGAGAGAGAGAGAGAGAGAGAGAGAGAGAGAGAGAGAGAGAGAGAGAGAGAGAGAGAGAGAGAGAGAGAGAGAGAGAGAGAGAGAGAGAGAGAGAGAGAGAGAGAGAGAGAGAGAGAGAGAGAGAGAGAGAGAGAGAGAGAGAGAGAGAGAGAGAGAGAGAGAGAGAGAGAGAGAGAGAGAGAGAGAGAGAGAGAGAGAGAGAGAGAGAGAGAGAGAGAGAGAGAGAGAGAGAGAGAGAGAGAGAGAGAGAGAGAGAGAGAGAGAGAGAGAGAGAGAGAGAGAGAGAGAGAGAGAGAGAGAGAGAGAGAGAGAGAGAGAGAGAGAGAGAGAGAGAGAGAGAGAGAGAGAGAGAGAGAGAGAGAGAGAGAGAGAGAGAGAGAGAGAGAGAGAGAGAGAGAGAGAGAGAGAGAGAGAGAGAGAGAGAGAGAGAGAGAGAGAGAGAGAGAGAGAGAGAGAGAGAGAGAGAGAGAGAGAGAGAGAGAGAGAGAGAGAGAGAGAGAGAGAGAGAGAGAGAGAGAGAGAGAGAGAGAGAGAGAGAGAGAGAGAGAGAGAGAGAGAGAGAGAGAGAGAGAGAGAGAGAGAGAGAGAGAGAGAGAGAGAGAGAGAGAGAGAGAGAGAGAGAGAGAGAGAGAGAGAGAGAGAGAGAGAGAGAGAGAGAGAGAGAGAGAGAGAGAGAGAGAGAGAGAGAGAGAGAGAGAGAGAGAGAGAGAGAGAGAGAGAGAGAGAGAGAGAGAGAGAGAGAGAGAGAGAGAGAGAGAGAGAGAGAGAGAGAGAGAGAGAGAGAGAGAGAGAGAGAGAGAGAGAGAGAGAGAGAGAGAGAGAGAGAGAGAGAGAGAGAGAGAGAGAGAGAGAGAGAGAGAGAGAGAGAGAGAGAGAGAGAGAGAGAGAGAGAGAGAGAGAGAGAGAGAGAGAGAGAGAGAGAGAGAGAGAGAGAGAGAGAGAGAGAGAGAGAGAGAGAGAGAGAGAGAGAGAGAGAGAGAGAGAGAGAGAGAGAGAGAGAGAGAGAGAGAGAGAGAGAGAGAGAGAGAGAGAGAGAGAGAGAGAGAGAGAGAGAGAGAGAGAGAGAGAGAGAGAGAGAGAGAGAGAGAGAGAGAGAGAGAGAGAGAGAGAGAGAGAGAGAGAGAGAGAGAGAGAGAGAGAGAGAGAGAGAGAGAGAGAGAGAGAGAGAGAGAGAGAGAGAGAGAGAGAGAGAGAGAGAGAGAGAGAGAGAGAGAGAGAGAGAGAGAGAGAGAGAGAGAGAGAGAGAGAGAGAGAGAGAGAGAGAGAGAGAGAGAGAGAGAGAGAGAGAGAGAGAGAGAGAGAGAGAGAGAGAGAGAGAGAGAGAGAGAGAGAGAGAGAGAGAGAGAGAGAGAGAGAGAGAGAGAGAGAGAGAGAGAGAGAGAGAGAGAGAGAGAGAGAGAGAGAGAGAGAGAGAGAGAGAGAGAGAGAGAGAGAGAGAGAGAGAGAGAGAGAGAGAGAGAGAGAGAGAGAGAGAGAGAGAGAGAGAGAGAGAGAGAGAGAGAGAGAGAGAGAGAGAGAGAGAGAGAGAGAGAGAGAGAGAGAGAGAGAGAGAGAGAGAGAGAGAGAGAGAGAGAGAGAGAGAGAGAGAGAGAGAGAGAGAGAGAGAGAGAGAGAGAGAGAGAGAGAGAGAGAGAGAGAGAGAGAGAGAGAGAGAGAGAGAGAGAGAGAGAGAGAGAGAGAGAGAGAGAGAGAGAGAGAGAGAGAGAGAGAGAGAGAGAGAGAGAGAGAGAGAGAGAGAGAGAGAGAGAGAGAGAGAGAGAGAGAGAGAGAGAGAGAGAGAGAGAGAGAGAGAGAGAGAGAGAGAGAGAGAGAGAGAGAGAGAGAGAGAGAGAGAGAGAGAGAGAGAGAGAGAGAGAGAGAGAGAGAGAGAGAGAGAGAGAGAGAGAGAGAGAGAGAGAGAGAGAGAGAGAGAGAGAGAGAGAGAGAGAGAGAGAGAGAGAGAGAGAGAGAGAGAGAGAGAGAGAGAGAGAGAGAGAGAGAGAGAGAGAGAGAGAGAGAGAGAGAGAGAGAGAGAGAGAGAGAGAGAGAGAGAGAGAGAGAGAGAGAGAGAGAGAGAGAGAGAGAGAGAGAGAGAGAGAGAGAGAGAGAGAGAGAGAGAGAGAGAGAGAGAGAGAGAGAGAGAGAGAGAGAGAGAGAGAGAGAGAGAGAGAGAGAGAGAGAGAGAGAGAGAGAGAGAGAGAGAGAGAGAGAGAGAGAGAGAGAGAGAGAGAGAGAGAGAGAGAGAGAGAGAGAGAGAGAGAGAGAGAGAGAGAGAGAGAGAGAGAGAGAGAGAGAGAGAGAGAGAGAGAGAGAGAGAGAGAGAGAGAGAGAGAGAGAGAGAGAGAGAGAGAGAGAGAGAGAGAGAGAGAGAGAGAGAGAGAGAGAGAGAGAGAGAGAGAGAGAGAGAGAGAGAGAGAGAGAGAGAGAGAGAGAGAGAGAGAGAGAGAGAGAGAGAGAGAGAGAGAGAGAGAGAGAGAGAGAGAGAGAGAGAGAGAGAGAGAGAGAGAGAGAGAGAGAGAGAGAGAGAGAGAGAGAGAGAGAGAGAGAGAGAGAGAGAGAGAGAGAGAGAGAGAGAGAGAGAGAGAGAGAGAGAGAGAGAGAGAGAGAGAGAGAGAGAGAGAGAGAGAGAGAGAGAGAGAGAGAGAGAGAGAGAGAGAGAGAGAGAGAGAGAGAGAGAGAGAGAGAGAGAGAGAGAGAGAGAGAGAGAGAGAGAGAGAGAGAGAGAGAGAGAGAGAGAGAGAGAGAGAGAGAGAGAGAGAGAGAGAGAGAGAGAGAGAGAGAGAGAGAGAGAGAGAGAGAGAGAGAGAGAGAGAGAGAGAGAGAGAGAGAGAGAGAGAGAGAGAGAGAGAGAGAGAGAGAGAGAGAGAGAGAGAGAGAGAGAGAGAGAGAGAGAGAGAGAGAGAGAGAGAGAGAGAGAGAGAGAGAGAGAGAGAGAGAGAGAGAGAGAGAGAGAGAGAGAGAGAGAGAGAGAGAGAGAGAGAGAGAGAGAGAGAGAGAGAGAGAGAGAGAGAGAGAGAGAGAGAGAGAGAGAGAGAGAGAGAGAGAGAGAGAGAGAGAGAGAGAGAGAGAGAGAGAGAGAGAGAGAGAGAGAGAGAGAGAGAGAGAGAGAGAGAGAGAGAGAGAGAGAGAGAGAGAGAGAGAGAGAGAGAGAGAGAGAGAGAGAGAGAGAGAGAGAGAGAGAGAGAGAGAGAGAGAGAGAGAGAGAGAGAGAGAGAGAGAGAGAGAGAGAGAGAGAGAGAGAGAGAGAGAGAGAGAGAGAGAGAGAGAGAGAGAGAGAGAGAGAGAGAGAGAGAGAGAGAGAGAGAGAGAGAGAGAGAGAGAGAGAGAGAGAGAGAGAGAGAGAGAGAGAGAGAGAGAGAGAGAGAGAGAGAGAGAGAGAGAGAGAGAGAGAGAGAGAGAGAGAGAGAGAGAGAGAGAGAGAGAGAGAGAGAGAGAGAGAGAGAGAGAGAGAGAGAGAGAGAGAGAGAGAGAGAGAGAGAGAGAGAGAGAGAGAGAGAGAGAGAGAGAGAGAGAGAGAGAGAGAGAGAGAGAGAGAGAGAGAGAGAGAGAGAGAGAGAGAGAGAGAGAGAGAGAGAGAGAGAGAGAGAGAGAGAGAGAGAGAGAGAGAGAGAGAGAGAGAGAGAGAGAGAGAGAGAGAGAGAGAGAGAGAGAGAGAGAGAGAGAGAGAGAGAGAGAGAGAGAGAGAGAGAGAGAGAGAGAGAGAGAGAGAGAGAGAGAGAGAGAGAGAGAGAGAGAGAGAGAGAGAGAGAGAGAGAGAGAGAGAGAGAGAGAGAGAGAGAGAGAGAGAGAGAGAGAGAGAGAGAGAGAGAGAGAGAGAGAGAGAGAGAGAGAGAGAGAGAGAGAGAGAGAGAGAGAGAGAGAGAGAGAGAGAGAGAGAGAGAGAGAGAGAGAGAGAGAGAGAGAGAGAGAGAGAGAGAGAGAGAGAGAGAGAGTGTGAGAGTGTGAGTGTGAGAGTGAGAGTGTGTGAGTGTGAGAGAGTGAGAGTGAGAGAGTGTGAGTGTGAGTGTGAGTGTGAGTGTGTGAGTGAGAGTGAGAGAGTGAGTGTGTGAGTGAGAGTGAGAGTGAGTAAGAGAGTGAGTGTGAGAGTGAGTGTGTGAGTGAGAGTGAGAGAGTGAGTGTGTGAGTGAGAGTGAGAGTGAGTAAGAGAGTGAGTGTGAGAGTGAGTGTGTGAGTGAGAGTGAGAGAGTGAGTGTGTGAGTGAGAGTGAGAGTGAGTAAGAGAGTGAGTGTGAGAGTGAGTGTGTGAGTGAGAGTGAGAGAGTGAGTGTGTGAGTGAGAGTGAGAGTGAGTAAGAGAGTGAGTGTGAGAGTGAGTGTGTGAGTGAGAGTGTGTGAGTGTGAGAGTCAGTGTGTGAGTGAGTGTGAGAGTGAGAGTGAGTGTGTGAGTGAGAGAGTGAGTGTGTGAGTGAGAGTGAGAGTGAGTAAGAGAGTGAGTGTGAGAGTGAGTGTGTGAGTGAGAGTGTGTGAGTGTGAGAGTCAGTGTGTGAGTGAGTGTGAGAGTGAGAGTGAGTGTGTGAGTGAGAGAGTGAGTGTGTGAGTGAGAGAGAGAGTGAGTGAGTGAGTGAGAGAGTGAGTGAGTGAGTGAGAGAGAGAGAGTGAGTGT